TGGTCGGGTGGAGAGGGCGGAGCCCCGGGTGTGTTCTCGCCCTCGATCTCCATCAGGCTTTGGAGGGCATATTCACAGTGGAACGACTCCCGGCGGTATTCGGCATGCACAACCTCCAAACCATGCTTCCTCATGGACACGCAAAGCCCTCCTTTTCGGTCCGAGCCCACGGAAGAAGTGGAGGATGGAAATGAAGGCGGAGGGGGCGGGCCGAGCTTCTCGGCTGATTGCACCCTTTGGAGGAGAGGCGAACGGGGCGGTTCTGCGCTCTTGGGCCGGGGGCGTGTGATTGGAGGAGAGGCGTGGAGCTTGGCGGGGAAGGCCTGAGTAGTGTTGGAGCTGCCGACAGTGTGCCCAGCGATGGGTGGCGGGGAAGACGAAGTAGGGGATGGCGTGTGGGCCAGCGGAGACAGAGGAATGTTCCCGACGGATTTGCAGCGAGCAGAACGGTACTGCCGGTGGAGTTTGGGCGAAAGGCCGTAAAGAGAGCTCGGCCGCATGTGCTGAGATGTCGCAGGCGAGTTTGGCGTGCTGGACGCCGGTGAGCTGCTCTGAGACGAGGTGCCTGAGAGGACAAGGACAGAACGGGTCAGAACCTCAAAGAAACATGAAAAGGGCACACAATCAGTCAAAAAACCCAACACTGACTGAAGCCAAATATCAAAGGCTAATTTAGGTCATTTCAACGCACGTCTGCTGGAAAGGAAAGAGGGTGACAGAAAGACAGAAATGTTATCTTCAGTAGCTCAAATGTCACTCAAGTACATGCTATGAGGCAGAAAGTTTTAATTATGTTACACATTTACACATATATTTTTGTTCTCTAGAAAGGTGTTATTTTGTAACCAGACATTTGTGCATGTCTATAACTAGCATAAAACTATTGAAATTGTTCAGCTACTTGAAAACTTAGGCCCGAATCATACTTATGTCATGCATTATATGTATATGAATATATACATGAACAAATGCTTCTAGCAACACACTTGGCCTTCAGAGACACTGGATTCTGTGAGGCACATAATGAGTGATATTCATGTACGCTTGGCATTCTCAGCACGGTTGCAAGGGTTGTAATAATTACAAACACTAAACAGTAACTCTGTCGCCACCTTGAGTACTGTACTGCTATGATGCATTTTAAATATATAAAACAAGACTATACTGTTTTGCACCTGCATCTGCATACATGCACAGTCTCAGTCAGTTAGGCTTAACTGAGTAAAATGCAAGTAAACACATAATAAATAACACATATAATAAATAATAGATTTATATACAAATATTATTAACATTTTGGACAAGATCAAATATATTTCTTGTTTTATTTACACATTAAAAAAACACAATTTATATAAAATAATATTGTTTAATTATTTATTTAGTTGTTTATTAATAATATTGTTGAATATATAATTTAGCATTGGCATTTAATTGGAAAACGCTGGTCTATAAATATTCATTTACTAAAAGTGTAAACAAGCATAAATGACACCACCAAATCAGCCAATGAGATTCCACATCTGACAGGCATTTTTAATAGATCATAAAGCAGTGGGAGGAGCTCTGACCGAGGTAGGCGGAGTCTGGAGGAGAGCGGTACGTCTGCGTGGGCGAGCGAGCAGACAGGTTGTGTGTCGGCGATCCAGGCAGACTGTCTCCAGACGAGAGAGAGCGATTCAGAGAGGACAGACTACGACTGGTGTGAAGAAAGTTGGACTGTTTCGTGATCTTACGAAAGAGAGAGCTGCGCTTCTTACTGCAGACAGAGAAAGAGTAAAGCACATGAGTAAAGCATTTACATAGATGATATCTATATTTATGTGAAGTTATTCATTTTTTCTGACCTCTCTTGTCCATCTTTTGCGGCTGACTTCTTGTTGCGTCTGGCCATCTTGGCTCTGTAGCTAAGCTTCCTTGCTGGTCCGATCTTTATGGACGTGTTTTCGAATGGAGTGGTCGTTACTGTTACTTTGCTGTCACTCTGAAAATTCAGTGAACCGTGTTAAATTTGTTTAGTAATATCTCTAGAAAGTAGCAGTCAGATGTGTTTGTGATGCCCGTACCTTCAGAATGAGCTCCACCACCTCTGTGTGCACCAATCCGTGCACAGACTCCCCATTCACATGGGTGATGAGGTCGCCAGCACAAAGCCCTGCCTCCTGGGCCGGCCCACCACACTCAACATGCTGTGATTGGACAAAAGCAATGTCAATCATCACATGTAACACATTCTTTAGCTATAAATGAGAAGAATGTTCCAGAATGTGTCCATACCCAGACCATGTGATGTACGCTGTAGACGTTACTGTCACCCATGTAGACTCTGATGGCGCGCAAGGTGAAGCCGTACTTCTTTCCAGAGCGATGGATGGTGATTGGTGAGCGCAGGACATTGACGGTAGGTGAGTAGTCACGACTGGGAGATGAGTCACGAGACGAGGGATTGGAGGAGATGGAGCGAGGAGACATGGGACTGGCTAGTGGTGACGTACCATGCTGCTCAACTATGAAACCAAACATCATAATATTACAAAAGATCACGTCAATGCCACGCATATTGAAATGCTTGATAATGTTTGACTAGAAACAATTCTTCAATTAATGTACAAATTATGTACAATTAATGTTGTTTTTATTATACATTAAACATAAACTACGATTTTATAGAGCGTATACACAAATAATACAAAAACTAAAAAAGAAAACCGTTTTTTTTATTATCGGTTGATGGCATTTATAGTGTATATACTATAGTGTATGAAAAGTAGTGTTTCAATTTTGTGAGTTGTTGACATTTTTAAACTTAAAATACACTTACAGAGACTTACTATACACTAAGTATTTATTTCTTAAAAATCTGCATGAAAAAATATATAAGAATTCTTAAAAAAAAATTGATTTAGTATTTATTAGGGCTGGGACAATAAATCGGTGCATCGCGATTCGTGGATCGATTCTGAGAGTTTCCGAAGGCATCGCGATTCTCTCTTGAATCGATTCTGAGCTTATTTTTTAACAGCAGATGGCGCTCTAGGCTAGTTTTTAACCGCACAATGCAGAATAATTTCTCGATTCGAATAATTTAATGTTGAAGTGCTGTGATTTTTTTTGGTTGTTGTTAATTATAATAATAATAATGAAATCGTCTCACCTGCAGGTATGATGACAGACAGGGCCGTGGCAGAGGCTGACTTTATGACTTTGGTTCCAGAGCGAGTCGCGCTACGTTTCTCGCTGTCGGTCGGAATCTGATGATGTCGTGCTCTTCGTAAGACGAGGTCACTTCCGATGCGAGGCCCAAACGAGTCTGGCATGTGCAGAGGAACCGCGGGAGTGGCATCAGCAGGCCGCAGGAGTTTATCTGAGAAACAGGAAGATAAAGCATAAAATGTGAGACATCACTGGGCAGGCACAATGAGCGATTGACACCCAGGAACACAACAGTAAAATGTATGAAAGTATTCTATTTATGTTTATTGCGAAAACCAAATAACCTCCAGGAGGTCCCACTGATGCCGTATAACTGGACTCCACCAGTCCGGAGCAGACGGGCACGCTGGCGCCCTCTAGTGACGAGCCCCTGGTTTTGATGGGTGTTTGACGTGTGTTTGCGTCACCGTCTCCCTCTAGTGGAGAAGCGAAGCGGTGCGTGTCCATCAGCGCTGAGAAACGCCGGCGCGCCCCGGGAGGACTGGAGTCTGATTCAATGAAAGACGATTCTGAACAAGACAAACGCTTCCTACAGAGACAGCAGAACAAACGGAGGGTGTTAGTGAAGATTATGTCTCTCTGACATTCATCGTTATAGATAATTGAATGTTCTAACAATGATCAAAATTAGATGTGTATATCTTTAAGACATTGTGAGGTTGTTACAATGGTCTCACTGGTTGCTAGGGTGTTGCTAGGTGGTTTCTAAGGTGTTCTAAGCAGTTGCTATGGTGTTGCTAGGTTTTTTGTTTTTGTTTTTAGTGTATGCAATGCTGTTGGTAGGTTTTTCTGAGAGGTCAGTGGCTGTTTTGAGCATTTCTAATGTATTTTAATGCATTCGTTGCAGCTGTTAGGCAGTTTTAAGTAGTTTAAAATGTGATACTGTGGTTGCCAGTGCTGGGTAGATTACTTACGAATTGTAGTCTATTCCTGATTCCAAATTACATGACAAAAATTGTAGTCAGTAACGTAATCAGTTACATTACACATTTTAGATAATATAATCAGACTACTTTTAGACAACTTTTAGATTAGTTTTGACCTAACTTGTTTATCACATTGATTTAAATAGGTTAATCCTGTACCATATTTATATTAAAACATAAAGAATAAGAAAATATTCAATTTATTGTAATTAAAGGGGTCATATGATGTTGCTTAAAAGAACATTATTTTGTGTATTTGGTGTAATGAAATGTGTTTATGTGGTTTAAGGTTCAAAAAACACATTATTTTCCACATACTGTACATTATTGTTTCTCCTCTATGCCCCGCCTTTCTGAAACGCGTCAATTTTTTCAAAGCTCATCGGTCTGAAAAAGCGAGGTGTGCTGTGATTGGCCAGATGTCCAGTGCGTTGTGATTGGCCGAATACCTCAAGCGTGTGACGGAAATGTTACGCCCCTCACCATACTGTGATGATGCCCTGTCCGGCTGGAGCGACGATTCAAAAACATGAAAACCCATTATAAACGAGGCATTCGTTGCATGCAGTGGGGACATAATTATGGATTATAATGACTTATACTGTCTTTTTACGCGTTGCGTTGCATCGCATCGCATCGCGCCGCGTAAACATAAAACCATGTCTGCATTTGTGATCGGAGAAATGACAAACAACAAGCGCTAGTGTACACTGCTCAAAACTTGTGTTTGAATCATCGGTGGCAAATTCTTTAAATATAAAAAACGTACTTACAGTCTGTGAGTCAGAACAGCTGGCATTGTAGTCTACTCTTCCAACAAACAGTCCTCCATAAAATGTGCTGCACGCATCTGAATATTTGGGTTGAAGTGTTCTGGAACAGTGTTGTAAATACAACTTAACCACTGATTTCTAGCCGTGTCCATTTTTGGAAGGCCAAACAAATTAGTTTTGCTTTCACAACGAAACACGGCGTCACACACGGCGGCCTTGAGTGAGCAGAGGCGGCGGGCTTGAGAACGGCGGGGCCGGTGGATTCGATGAAGGAGCGTCCGGAGGGCTTGCGGCAACAACATGTGACGACCCCGGGCTGGACTCCGCTTCGTCCAC